AGGGGAAGTACCATTCTGAGTTTAAGATAAGAATAAAAGAATATGTTAAAGCCCAAAACTGAAATGTCCAACTTAGTAGAAACGTTCAATTTACAAAAGCCCAACTTCATTACTTTATATGAGAAAGAAAAACAAATCATCCTGTCCCTCACCGTCTAAAACAATCCAAAAAAGGCTAAATATCCATTGGTTCTGCAACAGTGTCTATGTTTTTGGAGCGAGTCACATAAAAAGCCAAAGGTTTCTAAGATGTATTAAACAAGGGATTAAAAGCAGCGTGTCAGACAAATCATAGCTCTAACTATCCTCAAAAATTAGCTGAATACTCATGAAGTTAGATTCATATGGACGTATTCAAAGAGTTTCAATCTAACAATCATTTCCCAATATAACCTCAAATAAGTCCAAATGTCTGCTAATATTCCAAGTTGCTTCTATACATTGAGAAAAACCAAAAGGCAAATGACCTGTAGATAACAGACTAAATAAATCACTTACATTTGTATGTAACATTGAAGTATGTTGATGAAACATAGTTAATTCTCACAACCCAGTGAGGAAATACAAATAAGAGAGGTTTGAGTATGACTCCTTCCAAGTGATCAAAACTAAAACTGCAAATTGTTGTGATTTCCAACTTTTCTTCCATAAAAAGTCCCTGGCAGCAGCCTTCTGTACTTGGAAAAGCATGCAAAGAATGAGGTGGGTTTTGATGGCTAACAATTGTATCCCCAAGTTTTTTCTGCAATTTCAATTACACATAGCACTCTTTTTCAATCTTGGCTCAAATCACTTTTCCATTAAATCCAAGGAAACAGAAAGTGGAATGGTGGTAGCCAGAGACTAGGGAGAGAGAGTATGGAGAGTACCTGCCAAATAAGTATAGAGTTTCCTTTGGGGGTGATAAAATACTATGAATTAGAAGTAGGTATTAGTTGCAAAACATTGTGAGTGTACTGCCACTGTACTGTTTACTGGTTAATTTTCTGTTATGTGAATTAAACCGCAAGAAAAAAATATGTGTTAAGACAGATAAAATTGACCCCTTTAGAACTTTTCTTCAAAGCATTGCTACCATGTTGAAATTCTATTTAGATCTTCAAGATTTTAGCTTACGTGTATTACAACTTAAATTATTATGATATTTGCTCAGGAGTATATTGAGATCAGCGCTAAAATGCTAAAATTAAAGGAAAATTGCTGACATATACTTGTAAATAATCTCAAAGAAATATATAAATGAATCTACGACAGAATGCAATTTCAGTTAGCTTAACCGTGCATGTAAGGCAAATTCAAAATTTTTACTACAATTCTTTCCCCCAACCTCAAGCAATCAGCAAAACATTGTGAACTGACACGGAGTCTGTAATGCTACGTAAAAAGCAAACAAGCACAAGCACGGTACACCAACATGGCACACCTCATGGGTATAAATAAAGATGCCAAAGCTAGCTAACTGTCTTAGGGATGCAGGGCAATGTTACGTTCATTACTAAGCTTCACACTTGAAAATGTATAAAATTTACCTTAAGAAACTTGGGGTGAGAAAAATTTCTTTGTATAAGTGCCTGACAAAATTAACCTTATGTCGTAACTTCTAAGGCCAGTCCAAATCCAGTCTAGACGCCAGGATTAAACAAACGAGAAGGAGTCTTAAAGAGGACACTACGGAAAACAGGCTGATTTTGAAATCTACTGTGGCTGCCTTGATGCAGGCCAGTCTGAGAATTTAAATCCACTGGAAACCAACCCCAAAGAATACATGAACCCCTGAGCACGGACAGGGCCAGAGCTAAACCAGGTCAGTATATCCTGCCAAGGAACATCTTGCTCCGAGGTGTCCACCAAACAAGGATCATTTATCAGTTTATTCTTCTCTTGGTTGGATGCCAACAACTTTCGGATACATGCAAGTGTGGACTGATGAGACCCCCATTGACTCCATTGGAAGCCTTAAGATCCAGAGGTTTAAAAAAACGCTGTAGAGTTCTAAATGGTCTGTGTCTTTTAAAACATGTAAATGAAGAATTTCAAATGTTGGCTCACTCAACTGTAAATGTCACTGAATGTTACTAAAGGCATTTTTTAATTTTCATAATGTATTTCAAAGGCACGACTTAGTAACTGCTTATATAACCAATTCAAGTCACGAAAGAATTACAGCAATTCCACAAGTCTGTCCTATATGAGTTTATCTATATAAAGAGTATTTTGATCTGCTAAAAGCAAAAGTATTTCTTTTATAATTCACATGAATAAATACTTTCTCAAATTTGTAAGTACACATTTGGCAGAATAGAAATAATGAAAATAGGAAGGATATTAGGGCTAAAGGTTAAGTACAGTATTACAAGATAGTTCATGGTCAAAACAAGATGCTTCCAAGTTTAACCTTTAGACATATGGCAGCAGTAGCAAAGCATCTAATTTGTGTCACAGGACCTAGGTTTGAGTAAACTTTTACCTATTAATTATGTGAACTTTTTGCTAGTTACTTAGCTACTCCTAGCCTCAGATTCTTCATAGATAAAATGAGAGCACTGCAGCCTAACTAGGAGGATTAAGTCAGAATGTTTTTATTCAGTCAACAAATATACTTCGAAAAACTTTAATTTTTTACATACAAAACTACTTTTTAAAATATTTTCAAATAAATCAAACATATATTAACTTTCAATATTACTAAGAAAATGCCAATCTGATTTCTAAGCTATGGTCCAAAACTTCTTAGAAGAAAATTCTTAAATATTAGTTGAGAAATTCTGAACTGAAATAATCAGAATAAACATTAATAATGGGGGTTTGACAGTTGAGAGATAACATCTTTTAAAAGTCTTCACAAATGAAAACAGAATTCTCTGAGAGGTTTCTCAATGTTAAACAGAAATAGGGACCCAGACTTAACCCATAAGTTGTTGGATCAACATCCAATTTTGAATAAAAAATCTTAACACTTAAAAAGCTTTGTTTTCAGAAAAATGGTATTAGGCATGAGGCAAATTAGTCCTTGACACAACATGAGAGTTTTTTCATAACAAAAGACACTAACCACTTACAATTTACAAACTCTTAAGTTACCAAAATTACTGTAATAGGTTTAGGGTCACAGAAAAATTTAAGAATCATTGCAATATAGACTTTCCTTGCATTCTGTACTGACCTAACAAAATTCAGCATAAAAAAAGAATAATGAATATGACCAGTTTAAACTCTCCTTTCTGAAACTTAGCCCAGAAAATTCACGTTAGCAGGAGCCATGTGGAAGCTGTTCTTCCCCTGTCCCTTGAAAAGTCAAACACCCGCCACATTACTTGCGCTGTGCGTAGAAGGAAAGTCACTCATGTTCATCCACTCCAGTTCAGTCCTACACAAGACAGCTGACCTCCATGTTTATCCAATTGCCAGTCTATTGACTGTCAAATATTGTGGAAGAACTAAGACCTCGTGCAGCTCATTAAGTTTCACATACTATATAACCTGAAATTCAAATTCCTGAATTGCTACAACCATGGGTGAAAGATTAACTGGCATGTTCTCTGCACACGTCAATCTTCCTTTTAAGAACACAAATTAGATGGGCCACGTTATTTAGTGTTAAAGAGTGCAAAGCAATCTTCTCGGACGCATCCACTTCTAATACACATTTCTGCACACCTAGGCAGAAACTGGAAAAGAACGAACCTGAACCATTTTTCTCCCTCCCTTGGAAATGGGCTTGGTAGACGCCTTTCAAAATTTACGTTTAAGGAGCAATACCAATTCGTCGTTGAAGTTTCAGACCCCACCACCACAAGGGCCCATATAATGAACAGCTGTCTCTTGATAAGCCTAAACAGTCAAAACAGAACAGTTGTGCCTAATTTGTGAACATTATAATGAAGTTTTGAAATCGTACAAAATCTGCTGTAGAAACCAAATGTCAAACTCCGAGGAACGGGCTGGTCGTGAATAATTTTAGGACAAATGACCGAAAGCCAAAATTAGAACGTGAGACAGGACACACGGCGTCCCAGCCTGCGGGCGAGCCCTCCCGTCTCCCGAAGGAGCGCCGCCTCGGGCCCACCCCGCGCTCGCCGCCGCCGTTCCTCCTGCGGCCCATTAATAATGCGCGGCGGTTCGTGGGAAGAAAAGTTCTATTCAAACATTACAGTTGGCCTCCGCGGTGCCAGTAAGCGGCTTTGTTTCCAGTTCCGTGGACTGTTCGGGGACGTCAAGAGTTGCGAGGGCTGCCAAAGCGCCCCGGTCCCGCTCGCACCGAGGTTTGGAGAGATGGAAGCCCAGATGGGTTTCAAGAGCAGGGGCATCCCTTAGACCGCCATCCCTCTCCACCCCCCTGTCGCCGAGCACCTTTTACCTCGCCCATTTTTTGTTGCTGCACTTCAATGCTTTTGAAAAGACACCTGCATCCCCGGCGTTCCCTATCCGCCACCAGGAAGAAAGACGACTGGCTGGCTATCTGGCTCCATCTCCAGGGAAGGAGACGTCGTAAAACCCACTCGGCCGGGGCGGCAGGGAGCGCCTTAAGGGGCTGGGGACCGGCGCGGCCCCGAGGGGCGGGGGGCAGAGGCGGCGCCAGTTTACAGACGCCTTCGGCGCCCCCCCCCCCGCCGCCCCGCAGGCTGGGGGGTCCAGACGCGCTTTCCGGGCGCGGTCCCCTCCCCGCCGGGCCCCCGCGGTCGCCTCGGAGATGGGCAGCCTGCCGGCCCCCTCCCCCTCCCGTGGTCCAGGGCGGTGCCCCCACCTCCCCACGGCCTACTCACCCCGCGGGCCCTCCCGGCGGCGAGCAGAGGCCTGAGGCCTAAACGCCGCTGGCCACTGACAAGCCCCCCGGCCGCCCGCGGCGCCCGAGGCCGGGCAGGCGGGCGGACGCGGCCTGGGAGCGGAGCGCCGGCGGGGACAGCCCCTTCCTCGCCGCAGCTGCCTATTGTTCCCGACCGAGGCCCGGCCGCGCCGCCCCGCTCCCCACGCAGCCGCCGCCGCCGCGGCCGCTCGCTCACCGCGCTGGTCCGAGCAGCAGCTCCTCTCAGCTCCGAGTCCCCGCGGCCGTCGCCACCGCCGCGGCAGCCACCGCCGCCGCCGCCTCTGCCACCGTCGACTCGGACTCTGTCCCAGGCCGCCGGGCCCCGGCCGCCGCCGCCACCGCCAGCGCCGCCTCCGGCCCCCCACCTGCTGCTGCTGAGGCTGCTCCGGCAGCAGGGGCCATCTTGTTGGTCGGCCTCCTCTTCCTCCTCCTCCTCCTCCTCCTCCTCCTCCACCCGTCCGCTCGTGTCCTCGTCCCCTTCCTCTTCCTCGGGCTCCTGCCCGCCCCGGAGACTGGGGCGGAGACCAGGGCGGAGCCCCGGGGCGAGGCCCCTCCTTCCGGGGGCGGGGCCATCTGAGGGCGGGGCCCGCGGGGGAGGGAAGTTCTGAGTCACCCACCGCCGACGCCCCGCCGGGCGGCTGGCGACGCGCTCCGCCCGGCCCCGGAGCGCAACTCGCCGGGAGTCGGCGAACAGGTTCCTCCGTCTGCCCGGCCCAGTCCCGCGCGCCCCTGCGCCCGGCGGGCAGGTGGCCAGGCCGGGAAAATGAATTGGGAAATTCCTGACGGTGCCATCCCACCCCGCACTACCTCAACCCCCTTGGCTTTCTCAGCTCTGGTCCCCTCGCCCTCATTGTTCCTCTGCATTAGCTCGCCTCCCCCACCCCAGAAGAAGTAGCCTCCCTTCATGTTATGCAGGTTCTTCCTCACACCAGCTTTGCCCTAGGCACCCCCCCTTAAGAGTCCCCAAAGAGTTCGCCCCCCCCCCATCAGGGCGAGCCGGCCCAAGACCTGCAGACTCACGGCTCCAGAACGTGTCCCCAGGCCCCTGAGAGCATAAGCGCTCCCTGGGACAAAGGGCGGGGGTGGGGAGGGGGCAGGAAAAGCATCGGCTCCTGCAAGAGCTCCGGGACCCAGGAGCTGACCTCCTGAGGGCTGCAAGTTTGCGCTCCCTGGCGGAGGAGGAGTCGTGCCGCTCCGCGGTGATGGGAGGCCCCTGCAGAGCAGTTCGGTGGAGCCCGGTCCTGGCGTGGCAGAAGGGAGACATGGAATGCTTCCCGCGCCATGCAATGCCAATTTCACGATAAATTGTCTTGTTAGAACAGAGAGGGCAGACGGTCCACAAAGAAGCGCCCAGGTGGTAGGTCTCTGCATTGCCCCCCCTATCTTTTTTTTTTTTTTTTTTTTTGCCGAGGGCGCGGGGACGTTGCTTTCCGGTCCTCCCGGCACAGCTCGCATCGCCAGCACCGAGGAGAGTGCTGTACTCTATTTAGAGACGCTTCTGCCTTTATCGTGATAAAATCCAGTCTCTGTGACAGAGAGGGTCCTTCCTATGATCTGTAAGTAATACATCACGCGCCTTCCTAAACTCTGAGCCAAGGGAGGGTGCTTTTTAAGGGGCTGGGACCGTCCTGCTACTCAGGTTTCCGCTTCATTTTAGGCGACCTCTTGATGTCTTTCTGTAGATGGGAAAGGACGGCCTTTGAAGTGAACTGAATCTGTAACCTTGTCTTCCACCTCCTAATTAGTAACCCCAGGCCTACAAAGCGCACGTTTCCAGCTCCCACAGAGGGATTAGGCTCGCGAGCGCCCACCCAAAGGCTGCCTCCCACCCCGGCAGCCCAGCCTCGGTCCTCGGCTGGGGAAAACAGATTAATCTGCTCCTGCTCCTCCTCCTCCTCCTCCCTTCTTTTCACTCCCAGGGAACCTTCCATAACAGAAGGGTTTAGCGGCTGTTGCTAGGCAAACATGCCAACTTAAGTTGCTTAGGGGAAGCCAGTAACTTCCATTACCACCTAGCAACCTAGATAATATAATTCTTTGAACTATTAATAGTAGGGCCTCAGTTGGTATAAAGCTTCTTCGAGGTCCCCTTAAAAAAATAGAATTTGAAGTTAAACTTATTTCATCAATATTGCAGTTAAAAAACAAGTTTAACACGAAGCAGCTTCCCAAAATCCGTTTTAATGATATAATTAAACACACCTTTGGCAGAAAGAAGAGCAGCTTTGAAGAAAACACTGAAGTGTTTACAATAAAAACTAATCTACAAGGAGTCATTTATATGCTTTACACTCCCCAGTTAGGCCAAACATGTAAGATGCAGAGAATAATTTGTCGAGACTGAATCTATTTAGAAGAAAGACAATATGGTTACTCAGTGTCGGGGTGGGGGGTGGGGAGGAGATATTCTGGGTTTTATTCCCAAATTAATTCTGTAAGACTTTTAGCAAGTCAATGAAGCTCCTTTTTTCTCATTATGCTGTTTAAAAGTTTTTGTTACATTATTATTTATGTAATAGTAACATTTTTCAGGGTGCTGAAAATTAATATAAATAAGATTAAATAAGATATGTTAAAATTTAAGTTATGTATATTTAATCTTTTAAACACCTAAAATTGTATAATTTGTTTTAATCCAGTGAATATTGTGTTAATACAGTGAAATGATGTTTGAGAAATACCTTGAACTAAGGTAACACAGTAAAAATGAATTACTGAAGACAAACAGATTAAATGTTTTATAGTCATTTGTACCTAAAAATCACTAGTTTGTAGCTATAACACAATTTAACCAATGTAGCTTTATTTAATACTTTACTACTTAATTCTGATATGGAATCCCTAGAAATTGAGACTCTGCCTGGTCCTCCACCATATGATATACTATGAAAATTAAATGAGTCATTTCATAAAAAGGACTTAGAACAGCACGTGGCACATATTAAGTATTCACATTTTTAAAAAATTCATTATATATATATGTTATTATAGTCTTTGGTTTCTTGATCAACTGAGGATGTCATCAAATACATTTTTGCTCTTAGCATGACCTCTGAAAAATATTGATACTATTTTTTAGATCACATGCCAATCAGAGTAATGTCTTAAGGATTTCTTTCGATGTATTTTCTCGATGTACAGACAAACGATATGCCTGTGCTATGTTGTTTTTCCTTAGATTATGTATGTGTGTATGTATTCATGAGAATAACCTATGTTTTCAGGTTGTGCTGAGTGATGTTTTTTAAAGCTACTGTATTCCTTAACATGGCTCTGTAATGTGCAATTGTCAACCTAAAGCGCTGTTTGTCACATCAAGGCTAGAAAAGGCTTTGGATAGCAACCCACTTATTTCAGCAAATGAGAGAATCTGAGAAAGGTTGCATGGATCGTATATCTGACCCCGTATTTATAAATACTATGTTATTTTGGAGGAGCCTGGAGAGCTGGAAAGGCTGGGATGGGAGGAGAAAACACAAAGATGAATGTGTCATGTGTCCCTGCCTTAAAAAAATTTAACAGTGTAGTAGGAGAAATACAATAAGGCAAGTCAATGAGTACAGTATAAAGGAGATCACTGCATAGAAACTAAAAGTTCTGTGAAAAGGCAGAAATACTAGGAATCTTCATTCTAATGTTACAGAACTACTTTTTGATGGGTGGCAATACTATGTATGACATAGATGTGTACCCAGTGGCACAGAAGTACAATCAGCTCTCCATTCAATGTGGGTAGTGATGAGGAAGAATAAGGAATGGGAAATGGGAAGTCTGAGACTAGAGTTTGGATGAACTAAAAGCCTGGTTAAAGTACGGCTCGGACCTCTTCAGTGTAAATCATCTATGGGGGGGGGAGGGGGAATGACATCCTCAAACAGGAACAGACACAGGCAGGGAGTCCTGGGGTTGAGTCATTTGCATTTTCTGACCTGCTTCAGGTAAAATAAGGGTGGGAGGCACAGTGAGGCCTCTCCGTCCCCTACACCTACACAGACTGTCCGTAACCTACTCCCTCCCCAGCCCACACCTATTACCCGTGTTCGTTCAGCTACATCTCTAGGAAACAAATAAGAAGTTGAGGAAGGTGTCCTGAGCAATTACACTGAAGAAATATGAGGAAACCAGTAGTTTCTGACCTACCCTTCACCTCTAGAGTCTAGTCACAAACCAGGCCCAAGTCATCATCTACAAACTAGGGTGAATGGGCTGCCTTAGGTTGCGTTAGGTTGCCTTAAATTCAGGGTAACGATCCCATGCCATCATGGCAGATGTAATCCAAGTCAGTTCCGAGATTTCTGGAACCAGGTCCCCGTTGACGTGATTTGAAAAGAGCTGAATAAAATGATGTTTCTGAGTCCCACCTGAAGTTACTTCCCAGCTGACCCACCTCCCATGAAGGCCTCCCACTCAACATTGAGCGTGTCTGAACCTCAACTGACCTTCTGAGACTTGTCTTAGGGTGACAGGAAGCAACACCCCTTTACTAAAAAGGCCTCAAACAACTTCTGGCAAAGAGGCCCATTCTAGGCACTACTTGAAAGTGTCATAAGAGAAAGCAGCTCTACTTTTCGCTGGACCAAACTGTGGAATACTGTCATCCTTCACAACTGCGTTGGTCGGCTAGGGCTGCCGTGACAAATCCCACAGACCAGGTGACTTAAACAGCTGCAATTTTCTCAAAATTCTCTGGAGGCTAGAAGCTCAAGATCAGGCTGAAGGCAGGTTAGGTTTCTTCCAACATTTTCCTCCTTGGCTTGTGGAGGCTGCCTTCTCTCTCTTCACATGGCCTTCACTTTGTGTTTGTGTCCTCATCACCTGTTCTCGTAAGGACACCGGGCGTGTTGGGTCAGGGCCTATCCATGTGACCTAATTGTATCTTAATTACCTCTTTAAAGGCCCTGTCTTCAAATAGCACCACATTCTGGGGGACTAAGGTTTAGGACTGTCACATGGGAATTTTAGGGGGAGGAGTGGACACAATTTAGCCCATAACAATAATAAATGCTCACTTTAAGAATATCATATTCATAAATAAAAGGTACGCTTATGAATGTACAATTTTAAATATAGCCAGTTAAATCTGAAGCATTTCTTTTTCTAATTACTCCTTGCATCATACAATATCAACGCTTTTGAGGGTATAAGTTAGCAACCAGGAATAGGATACTAAAATAAAAAATTGATTACTCAACATTATCTGAGTCATACCACCAGATACTAGAAAGCACGTACCAGAATACAAATAGACTCAAGACTAATATGAAAGGATTACTATTTATATAGCTAGTAATTTGAACCTCATTTAGAGTTCTGTCTTGTGTAAAGAAACAATTCTAGATATATTGAGGTCAAATATATTTTGTAATGAAATAATATCATTTAACACAAATATATGTTCAATATCTGTTGGGCACTCTTAGGTTTACCATGTCAGGAGTACCCAGGTAAGAAAAAGTTGGACATAACATGTGGAAATCA